GCTTAAGGATGAGATTTCTTTTCCCAAAAGCACTTTTCCTGAGGAGGTCAGTCGGAGCGCTCCGTGCTCACGTCCTTAACTCCTTTCCTGCCCCGACGAGGACTTTGTGGGGAGAGGGAGGCTGCAGCTGGCAGGTCGGCCCGGCAGAGGCAGCTCCGCAATCGGTGCCTTGGCCAACGCGGCTCCCTCCACCAAGGAGCGCCTGGAACCCAGGTACAGCAACCTAGCCAAGACTCCTTCCCCTGCTGGGCTAAGCTCAGCAGGGAGATGTGGCCCAAGGAAGCTGCATTTGAAAAATCAGATTAAAAATCAAATGTAGTTCAGGTTAAAAAATAAAAAAACCCACCCCTTTTTCTGAAGAGCCATCTTTTGAGGCAATGGGCACAGGGAACCCTACCTGAGCAGGAGCCCCTGGCTGTGTGCCAGGCTCCCTGCCCACGCACCTCCAGCTCCCCGCGAATCCATGTGGAAGCACCGAGCCCGGAGCGACCCAGCGAGCTCCCCCGCACGGCCCGAGCCCCTGCCCTGCTCTGCAGCTGCTTCACATTGACCCGGTTGTTTCACCCCGTGCCCTGGAGGAAAACTGAGCAGATTAGCAATGATCAGAGCTGCTGCTGAGGGAAATGTGATTAAACTCTGCTTTCAGGTACCGTTTGCAGGGAAGGGCGCAGCGGGAGGAGGCAGCGGGCACAGGGGCCGAGCGAGGGCAGCGAGTGCCGGGTGCCGACCCACCACGTTCCTCTTTAGCCTCTTCTTTTATAGCACTTACCCGCATACACTGCCAGCACAAACCCCTTGAGATCACACTTACCTTTCCAAGTTATTTCTGAGCTTGCCTCTCTTTGTTCCACTGTGTTCCAGTTCAATAAAATACATACGTACATATATAAATATATATATATATAAAAGACATATATACATACACATGTATTTTCAGTGGGAAAAAACATGTACAAGTTTAGGATTCTTAAAGGAATACAATGTATATTGCAACTAATAATAAAGTTATGTTTTCTGAACTGTTCTCTGGGGTTGTGTGTGAGGGCAGCCCTCAGCAGTGCCGGGTCTGCAGTGCCCATTCTGCTCTGTGCCGCTCCATCCCGTTCTGTGCTGCTCCACCCTGCTCCATGGTGCTCCGTCCTGCTCCAGCCTGCTCCAGCCTGCTCCATCCTGCTTCATGCTGCTCCAGCCCATTCCGCCCTGCACCATCCTGTTCCGTTTTACTCCATCCTGCTCCGTGCTGCTCCACGGTGCTCCGTCCTGCTCCAACCTGCTTCATGCTGCTCCATCCCATTCCATCCTGCACCATCCTGTTACGTTTTACTCCATCCTGCTCCGTGCTGCTCCGTCTTGCTCCATGCTGCTCCATCTTGCTCCGTCCTGCTCCGTCCCACTCCACCCTGCTCCACGGTGCTCCGTCCTGCTCCAACCTGCTTCATGCTGCTCCATCCCATTCCATCCTGCTCCAAACTGCACCATCCTGTTCCGTTTTGCTCCGTCCTGCTCCAGCCTGCTCCATGCTGCTCCATCCTGCTCCGTGCTGCTCCGTCCCACTCCACCCTGCTCCACGGTGCTCCGTCCTGCTCCAACCTGCTTCATGCTGCTCCATCCTGCTCTGTGCTGCTCCATCCCATTCCATCCTGCTCCAAACTGCACCATCCTGTTCCGTTTTGCTCCATCCTGCTCCATGCTGCTCCATCCCGCTCCGTCCTGCTCCATGCTGCTCCATCCCGCTCCGTGCTGCTCCGTCCCGCTCCGTGCTGCTCCGTGCTGCTCCATGCTGCTCCATGCTGCAGCTCACGGAGCTGCACAGCAGCGTCCCTGAGCAAACACCACCAACCCCGCAGGGCTCCAGGTGCTGCCCCAGCTCCCTGCTCTCCCGGCCCCGCACGGAGCCACCCGCATCCACCGCAGCGGAGCCGCTGCCCACGGGCCTCGTCCTCCGCAGGACCCGGCACACAGAGGGGCTGCGTTAGTGCCTGGAAATATTCCAGGCGTTGAGATAAAAAAAAATTCCTTAGAGATTAATTAAGAGTTTGGATGGATCGCATGATACGCATGAAATGCCTGATAACGTCTAATTAAAGGAAACTTGGCAGAGAAACCCCCTCGGGCTGGGGGAGAGCAGAGAAGAAGGCAAGATGTCCAGAGCGGGAAGCGCTTGTGCCGCCTCGTACGGACAGAGCGGAACGAGGGCCGGGGGGGACAGGAGGAGGGACGGGGGTGGCTGCCCCGGTGCAAGAAGGGGCCGTGACCGCGGCCAACCCTGCCACGAGGCCGAGCCCCAGGAGGAGCCAGGGCCTTCCAAGGACAGCGGAGTCATTTCATGGTCACGTCTTTATTTAGATGAAAAACACGCCATGGCTTTCATTCAAAAACCAGCAAAGCTTCCCTAAGGCCACCAAAATTAACCCTGAAGCTTCACAGCAGGAGCCCCACGCGGCTACAAGCAGCTCCAGGTCCTTACCGAGGAGGAGAAGGGAATGAGACTGAACTTGCCCCCAGCAGCGTTGCTTTAAAACTCCCAGATAACAGTCCAGTTTTGCCTCCTGGGGTGGAGGGAAGAAGCGGTTTTAGAGAGCACAGCGTTGGCTTCTGCTAAGGAGACAAGAGTCATAAAATTCATAGAAATGTTAGTGCTGTGCCAGGAATGCGCAGACGAACCCCTCGTGAGCAGAAGGGAGAGATAAAGTCAGCCCTGCAGCGCGGGACCGGCCTTCACCCGCGTGTGCTGGGCGCCCCGTCCTCGCGGCGGCGCCGCTCCACACGTCACCGTGACGGCCTCGCGCGGCGCCGCCGCGGCCCTGACCGCACCGAGCTGGAGCGCAGGGGAGTAACAGAGAGGAGCTGGTTTCTCACAGGGGTTTTAATGACACCTCCAGGCAACCCAGAGCAGCTCAGGTTCTTCCACTGGAAGCTACGTGGAGTTAACCCGGTTTTCCCTAGGATGCCCCTCTCCACCTCCCAGATCCCATGAACGGAGGCGTCCGGCCTCGCAGCCTCGCCCCAGGCTTGGCCTTAACCGAAGGCTGCCCCTGCGCTGGGCTCCCCGGCCTCCGAACGCCCGTTCCCAACATCCTGGCCCCAAGGCCTCATGTCCTGTTGGGTTAGCGACCAGGACAGGAGCAAAACGACCTTCAGAGACAAGACAGGGAGAACCAACACGAGAGGCTGCGAGGGCTCGAGCCTGCGGTCGGCCTCGCTTCCCAGGGCTGCTCTTTCCCCCGGCGCTTGCTCTGCCGCTACCAGGGAGGGAGAGGGAAGCTCCTGCGCCCTTCCCAGAGCCTGTTCTGGGAACTGGGCGGCCAGAGCCTTGGGACCCGGGCTAGCCCTTCCCTGGGTATCCCTTCCCTTCCAAAGCTTTTAGGCTCCCAAAATGCCCTTCAAACCTTGCCCAAACTGGTGGGCTTACAAAGTTCCCCACCAAGCGGAGAAGGGCCCGTGCCCTCCGCTCCCCCTTCCTGAGGCCGCGCTCACCGACTTCCAGTGCCAGGGCAGCAGCTGCTCCCCACACGGCCACCAGCCTCCCATCCTCCCCCTGCAGAACCTGCCTTGCCTGGGCCCCAACCCCGCTCTGGGTTCCAAATTGAGTTTTTCTTGCCGGGGCTCCAGAAAGGACCATCTGCTCTCCCCGAAACGAGA